AAGGCGTTGACACTATTATCTGCTAAACAAAATTCAATCAACGAAACCATTTTTTGCGAAATAAAACTCTTTTCCAAATATTTAAAAGGCATTCGAATCAACATTTTGTTGACTCTTTTTGTTGTCCGTTCACTCATTCATTCATTTCTTTAATTACTAAAAAAGTCGATACAATTTATTTTGTCCTTACATTTAATTACTCTACTCTTGTTTTGTGGAAAGAAATGTTATGTTTTAGATGTAATAACCAGAGAATTGCATTGTTGGTAAATATAAGTCCCCAAATATTCATTATAATATTTATAAAAAACAGCACAAAAAGTTACTTAAATAGTTATGATTTGATAAAATAGACTTAAAAATCATTTTAAAATTTACTATCCGTTAGTTTTAATGTTTAATACACTAAATATAGTATCTATTCAGTTGATTCACATAAATTTGACTAAATTTATAAAGAATTTAGTATGTGTTGTGTGGTATTTGTGACGATCAACAACACAATACCGACACTTTTGATAATTTTAATAATTTGAATAAAATAAACTTGAAACCAAAACTATTGATATTTCTCTTTCTTTAAATCACTTTTATATATTTTATATTTATTTCTATTACTAAAACTCACTTATATTCCAATTTAATCATAAATATTTCTATTTTTGCATTAAAATTTAGTCAAATTTACGAAATACTTAAAATAGTTACAAAAGCCTCAAATAGTTAAATATAGTTAAAATAAACTTTCGGTAAACTGCCCCCCAATACATGATCGATTCACATCCTAAGTCAGGCAATTCTATGAACCGCTAAAAATAGTAGCTTTAGTTAAATGCAATGCTTTGGTAATAAGTTATTACTAATAACTGTTGATAACAATGAAATAAGTGGTATTAAATGAATTCAAAATGTCTGGCAAATAAAATTAATTATTTTTGATGATAATTTGGATCATTAATAGACATAATTGTTATAATTTGAAGAGATTTATAGGGTTTGGGCAAAAGGGATGATGTTTTGGTGATTTCGGTTGGATTAACACGAGATATACATTGCGGTCGTGCTCTACAAAAGTTGTACAAAGTTTAGTCATGTTTTAGGGATTAAAGTCAGGAAAAACTAATTCATTGTACAGAAAGCAGATAATGGTTAGAGAATAGCTATCTATAGATATACACGCATAGAGTGGTGTACAGTAAGTGTGTGTTGAATGCGCGNCTTTCTATTTGTGTAATACTTTCATAAACATTGATATTTCATTGCAATGAATAGTAATTAGGGTCTCATATAATACAAACTAACTCTAATTAAAACGAGATTCTCTCTCAAAGTAATTGTTTGTCTTCACATTTGCATGAATTTTATGTTTGAATTAAAAGGCATTGCTTTCACTTAAAGATTAACTTTGTTTTATGCGTCTCTCTCTCTCTCTCTCTCACTCTCTCTCTCTCTCTCTGTAAGTGCGTTTGATTCGCTGTATTTTTTGCATTCAATGTCTCTCTAACTTTGACTAAACAAATAATATAATTCATTTGGAAAATGGACAGAGATATTAGCATTCGGACAGTTTTATGAATACATTTGGTTAATATTGATAACAGTATAGACTTTATAGAGAAACGCAAAAAAGCCATTTCAATAACCCTTAACCTCTCGCGTGAAACATATGAAAACCAATGAAAGAGTGAAACCGCAAAACAATAGACACAAAATTGATATAAAATATCAATGAATGGATTGATAAGCAATCTTTATCTCATCCAATGTTGTGATTCATAAATCAAAGGATATCTGAATGACAAGCAATCAAATATCGTTTAGCTCTCAATAGGGCTGTTATTAAATTGGTTCTCTAATACAATACTAAACACTTTATACCATTATATTATAGAATAATTCATTTCATTTTATGTCATTATAAATATTCAATAATATTCTAATGCCTGAAAACAATATTATATTTAATGTATAGTTGTGTTCATTAGTGGGAAACATATTAATAGTATGTCTTTCTCTTGTGATTTACAAAAGATATTCTTTATATTGCTTTTGAACACAAATATTAGTCAATATTCCGTTAAATATGAAAATGAATTTAATATATATCTACTATATATACAGCATATATAGAGTGTATGCATATTCTATACTCTACTTAATTCATATTCTCGTATTCTATTATGCAATTGATTTTAGAAAGTGATTGCAAAATATTTCATATAATGTTTTGTTTTAATAATTAGTTAGTAATGATAGCAATATATTTATTGTCTGTACTATTCGTTGCCATCCCTATCATAACTACTGTTCATATAATTATTAATTCATTTATCAAAATTGCAAATCTATTATTTTATTCAAACTTTTATTATAATTATTAATTTATACAAATTATATTCATTTTTATGTACCATTTATTGATTGCAATAATTAAATGAATTTAAAAATAAATCAGTTTATTGTTTATTATTATTATTTATTTTAATTAGTTTTTTATTTATGAGATGTTTTATTTAAGTCATTTATCTAATCATTTGTTAATTAAATAAATACATTACATCACTATAATTATTCTTAAACACATTTGATTAATAGTTAAATAAACCAATAATTATTAAACTTTTTTAAAACAACATTTTTAAATAGAGAATTTAATATAATACCAATTTAAAGTTAAATATTTTTAATAAAACTAATATTAACTAACGTTAAAAGATGTGCATGGTAATTCATTAACAATTATTAATTAACTGCCGATTGACACAATTACCAAAACAAATAACATGAATGAGTGATACATGTCTTGAATAATTTTGAGGCTTTATTTTTGTTAATCTCTACTGATTTTGAAAAGTAAGTCTTTTATAGTTACAGTAATTGCTTTTTAACGTTAAAACATTACTTTGTATTAATATTGTTCACTATATTTATATTTATGGTATAATAAAATTTACAGTTATTTTGTTTAAAACAATTTTCATTAATCATATGTCGGTTCAAACATTTGTTTCATTTAGAGGAACATTAAAGTTGTTGTTATATATATATATTGAATAACTTTATTCCTATCCTTAGTGTTATGTAATATAATGTATTTATACATAAAAATATTTAATTTATTTACACTTTTATGATTCTGTGATACTATTATGGATGGTATATATAATATATAAAATACACCACATTTTGATTACTTAGGGATTCACTCAATTAATGAAACAATTGAAGCGAAATGGCTTTGCATTGCAAAAGAATTACCTTTTATTCTGATAATCATAGGACTGGAGTGTAGTTATAGTTTGACGAATACTGTAGTCGACTATAGACTTATACTATGATTTGTTTCCGACTTTATATTATGAACGCTTCACTGTTTGTACAATATATGCATCGGTTAAGAGGGGAAGAGGGGAGAGGGAGGGCGACGGAGGGGCAGAGAGGCATCACTGTTCGCATCGGTGTATCACTTGATTCTGTATTAAAGCCTAAACATATCTATTACTGTTTCTATGACTATCACTGCTATAAACTCTGCTTACCGTATATTATACTCACTTAACGCTGAGTCCGGATTCCTAACCCATACATACAGTGCCGCGCATTCAACACACACTTACTGTACACCACTCTATGCGTGTATATCTATAGATAGCTATTCTCTAACCATTATCTGCTTTCTGTACATTGAATTAGTTTTTCCTGACTTTAATCCCTAAAACATGACTAAACTTTGTACAACTTTTGTAGAGCACGACCGCAATGTATATCTCGTGTTAATCCAACCGAAATCACCAAAACATCATCCCTTTTGCCCAAACCCTATAAATCTCTTCAAATTATAACAATTATGTCTATTAATGATCCAAATTATCATCAAAAATAATTAATTTTATTTGCCAGACATTTTGAATTCATTTAATACCACTTATTTAATTGTTATCAACAGTTATAACCAAAGCATTGCATTTAACTAAAGCAACTATTTTTAGCTGTTCACAGAATTGCCTGACTCAGGATGTGAACCGATCATGTATTGAGGGTCAGTTTACCGAAAGTTTATTTTAACTATTTGAGGCTTTAGTAAATTTGACTAAATTTTAACGTAAAAATAGAAATATTACTTATTAAAGTGGAATATAAGTGAATTTTAGTAATAGAAATAAATATAAAATATAAAGAAAGAGACTATTATAGTGAATATTTAGGGACTTATATTTACCAACAACGCAATTCTCTGGTTATTACATCTAAAACATAACATTTCTTTCCACAAAACAAGAGTAGAGTAATTAAATGTAAGGACAAAATAAATTGTATCGACTTTTTTAGTAATTAAAGAAATGAGTGAATGGTTTGAATGGACAACAAAAAGAGTCAACAAAATGTTGATTCGAATGCCTTTTAAATATTTGGAAAAGAGTTTTATTTCGCAAAAAATGGTTTCGTTGATTGAATTTTGTTTAGCAGATAATAGTGTCAACGCCTTAACGATATCTATAATAGCGGTTATATTGGACTTAAATCTCTTATGAAATATGGTATTGCTTTAGAGAAGGAAAGAAAAGCAGAGGGAAGTGGAGAGAAGTGGCGGGAAGTGTGTCGTGAGAGGACAGGGAGAGGGCAGGCAGAGGACAGGCATATACTGGATGGTGATCGCAGGTGCGGCCAATTGTTGGGCTCCTATTATTGAAGACATAAGCGAACTCCAAAGCTGTGACACCAGAGTATATACGGCTCTAAACTACATCTTTAATTGTTTATTGCATTTCAACAGTTCTTCGGCGCAGAGAATGTGATTCACAAGTATTGAGAGTATGGCTTAGTTTTGATGGAATATTACTATTATTATGATTGCAGTCTTAGTGAATATACAGGTTATAGTCGACTCACTTTCCGCTTCGTTACATATAAGCGAATTTCGTGAAGCGAATCAACATTTATTCACAGCCATGGGATGAGAGGCGCTCACGACTACAGGCCTTCTCTTTCCCTACTTTTCTTTCTATTGAATAATGCATTCAACAACTAGTCTTCACTAACACTCTCTACCAGTCTCTCTCTCTCTCTCTCTCTCTCTCTCTCGCAAATATTAATGATAAATGACTAGAATTTAAATTGAATTAAAATTATATTTATAATTTACTGATAATTTTACTTTTATTAAAAAGAACATTCAATTAATGAAATTGTTTATTTTGAATATATTGGTAAAAATTGGTGGACATGTATTTCGAGTTAAAATAAATTCATGTTTTATTAAAATATAAATTTAAAACAATGGCACAAATATTAAGAATATTTAACTCCGATAACAATCAATAGGACTAATAATGATATCAATACTATAACAGAAGACCTCTGTCTGCAAATAGAGGCGAAGGCACTATAAAATAACAATGTATTCAAACATTAGTTATATTCACTTTTGAAATCTTACGGTATTATAAAATAAATACAAATACTTGTTTGGCTGTGAAGTACTTTTACTGCGGTTTTTACAATACACCAGAATATGCGATACATTAATCATATCGTCATTTTTGATCACATAATAAGCATTTGGGACACCATTTGAATCTATGAACAAGTAATCAATCGATATTGCAATGTGTTTAACAAATTATAACTGTAAAAATAAATAATAAAAAATGATAATAACTTTGGGCTATAATATCTGGATGTCTGACCACTTGACAGACGGCCACACAACTAATCTCTTTGCCGAGCAATGACTTGTTCCACCCGAAGCCGAATGGACTGAACTCAATGGCAACGCTTAACTGTGAGCTCACATAAGTGCCCGAACCGTAAAGCGCTCTCTATTAACACGTAAAACATGTTTAACTTATTTGTAAACAATTAAAACAATGGTTTACTTTATTGAGACAATTGACGAGTCCGTTGTGAAGGATTGAGTGGAAGTTCTCCACAGCCGACCCATGAAAGGCCCAAAAGGTTCCGAAGCGCTCTTTCGCTTCCATGAAAGACCTCTTGGGCTGAGAAACCACTTCAAAGATAAGCGTCGGCTTAAAGTTCTTCATCGATGACTGATTCTCATTCAATATATTCGTTATCTTTAAACCAATGGTAAGATTTTCATAAGTGATATGTATTTGAATGCAAACATTAAATGAGTACTTGTTGTGAACTAATTGGTCGGAGAATGAGCTGAAATGATCCCAAAGTGATGGCCCAATGAAGAAGTTGCCAACAGTTGTCTGACATCTGGTAGTCCTCATTCAACTCACTTAACGCTGGGATTGAATTCAAGTCTCGTTTCTGTCAATCATTGAAAAACACATTTAGAAAGCGTTCAAAACATGCATTGAATGCTTAAATACCACGAAATCAAACATCTTTTCCTCTTCAGTCACGTATTGGTTGGGAAACGGCTTTAGTATTGAATCGCATCGATAGCTGTTGAGTGCGGCCGACAGAAGACTGATCCGCAACTCGTGTCCCAATTGATCCGTTTGTGACTTCTTCTCACCCAATAGTCTCAATACACACGTCTTGTAATCGTTTCCGTCCATCACTTGTTTGCATACAATTAGTGCTAAAAATAGTGATAAACACAACACTTATTACAGTTAATACACAAACTGTCTGTCAGTTTATTTAGACAAACATTTAGACACTCTTTTCGTACACTATATTCAGTATATGTCTGACAAAAACTCGTTATAATAAACAAGTAGTCAATACATTGTAAACATGAGCCAAACTATGCAATGATTAACGCAAACACTGTTTACACAGTTTAGTCAACGTATGATATAATGAGTACTTTTAGTCAACATTTCATCAAAAGCCGCAAAAAGTATACAACAAATGAACGCAACACTAGTTATGCTATGGAAAGCACTTTCACTGCAATACACATGTAATGCTATTTATGAAGTGTTTGTCTGTTTTCATACATGTATTGATGTATTGCTCTCTCGTATCCATAATTGTGGCCATAATTCATACCAAACCATAACTCGTGTATTGTTTTCACACACTTTGCCCACAATTCAATGCATTTGAATAATCATTACTTAATTGACAATACAATTAACGGTAATGTGTTTGTAATGCAAAGCATATGACTTGCGGTGTATTATATGTTTGAATACTATTAGTGATGATCACAACAAATGGACTGCAATTGTGTTCACAGACCGAGAGATCCCGTGTTTTGGCCATCAATTTAGCGCACATTTAATGATTAATTCAATGATTAGTTTGTGTTTACAATCGCTTGTGATTACAGATTACACACCTATTGATGCAATCAATGCATACAATGTATATGTTATGCAATAATACAATCATTTGATAAATTAAATCATTTTTATACAATATTTTCTATATTTTTACTCAACGTTTACAAACATTAATGTTTATAAATCCATAATTAATACTATATTTGCACTCAATTTCAATCATTGCTTCAAAATTTTGTGTATTTTTATACAAACCGACAAAAATATTGTGTAAAATATATTGAGTATAAGATATTCAACAAATCAATCAATTGATCCATCATTTTGTGTCTCAATTTAATTGAAATTCATTTGTATATAAATATCGGCCGAAAATCATTGTCTGTCTCAACGAAATGAGTAAAAGTCTTATTCATTGCCTTTAAATAACGTTATGGTAATGAGTGACGAAAGGATCACTTCCAGAGGGGTATGTCTCACATGACGTTTGATGCCATTATATGACTGCAATGTGTGCACACTTTCAGTGGCCAATTGGGACAGAAGTGGTGGCGAGATATCACTTCAGTGGTAAGGCTGAAGAGGACCTATCCTTTGAAAAGGGAGACATTCTTACGATTACACACCAGACAAGGGTTTGTCTCAATCACTATAGCATGAGTTACTGTCTATGTCTTAAGGCATTTGATTGATTGTGTGAATTGCCGGCACTGATAGGACCCGAACTGGTATAAAGCCAAACACGTGGACGGAAGGGATGGTCTCATTCCCGCCAACTATATCCAGAAGAGGTCTGAAGTCAAGTTGAATGCAATGCATTGGTTTCACGGAAAGATCACCAGAGATGAGGCCGAAGCCCTCCTTCAGCCCAGAGATGTAATGCCCGCCTCTATAGTAGTGTTTATATATGAATACAAACTAATGACATGTTTTTACATATGGAAAGGACGGCCTATTTCTAGTTAGAGAGAGCACTAACTTTCCCGGAGATTACACACTATGCGTGTGTTTCAACGCACGGGTCGAGCACTACCGCGTCATCTATAAAGACAACAAACTAACCATCGATGAAGAAGAATATTTCGAGAACCTCTCGCAACTCGTCGATGTATTTT